CTCGTTTCTGTTTTTACAGTCTTCCTGCTTTACGCAGACCGCTGGCAGGCTGTTAGAAACAGAGTCTGTTTGTTTGTTTGTTCCTCTTAAGTTGAAAAAGGAGGTGTTAGGGGAGAGGTTTTGCTGTAAGGACCCATGCACTCACTGGAGAGACAGAAAGCGAGCAATCACCCTTGCGGGGGTGACCACACTGCAGTCCCTTCTCCTCCATCCTCCTCTCTGGATCTTGGACATGCATGCACATGCGCCCGGCATGAGTGTTAAGTTACCAGATCCAGGACTCGAACTGCAGTTGACTACGTGGGAGTCCAGAACTAAACCGCTATGCCATCTGCTGGTCCCAGTGAATAAGCTTTTTAAAGTTAAGATAAGTTACGTATTTGCTTTAAAAATATATTTTATTTCTGTGGTCAGAGGGCTCACCAGAGACGGAGAGTCAAGGAGGGAGAAAGCATCCCCCCAGTGGGGTGTGGTCACACTGCAGTCTTCTCCGCTTGTCCACCTCTTTGGGATCTGGGGCACGCCTCACATGTGCCAGATGTGTTTTTCATGCTACCTGGGCTGGGATTCGAACTGTAGCCAGCCATGTGGGACCTGGCTCCTTTAATCACTAGGCTGTGGAACCAGCTCATTTTATTTCTTTAAAGTTGACATATCTCTTCCATGAGTGAGAGGAAGAGAAACAGGGAGACAGCACCAGCAACAGGCTCTTGAAACCACCGTCCACCCCCAGCCTCGGCCAGCTCCGGATCACGGGCTTGCACAGGCCGAGTGCGCTCAGAGGGGTCTCCAGAGGCCAGTCCAGACTGACCCGCATGGGTGAGGAGTGCAGAGCGTTGCATTTCCCTGTGAGCCACCCTCTGGCCCCATAAGCTCATTTTTAAAATCTCATTTCTTCGTTAAATAGAAAATTTATGAAATACAACAGATAGAGGAAATTAACTTGGTGTGTAAGGGAGTTTCCCACTCGAGCTTGCTTTTCAGGCCAGCTATTTGTTTTCTAATTCTGTTACTGGACAGTATTCTAGATAGAGCTGGCTTCGTATTGTTTTGCAGTGGTGGTGTTACTAAATTGTTCGATAGTCTAAAAAGTTTTTTATTTGTGTTTTCCCCCCTCCCTTTTTGATTTTTGCCTTGGTTTTCTCACCTGAAATGTTTTCAGTCAGAGAAGGTGTAAAGATGATGAAGTTCTGATAACTTTTATTTGTTCGCAATGCGTTTGTGGTCACAGACTTCCTTAGCAGATGGGTGAATATAGACGGAAATGTATCTCCTTCATGAGCCAAAGTATGTCTATATAAACGGGCTGGGTTTGCAGGACTTTTACTTACTTGAGGGTTCTAGTGAATCGGAGGATATATGAAAACCTCAGTAGCTGTTTATCGATACGAAGCACTGTGTTTAATGATAGACGGCAACGTTTAGAAATCTCTCCTGTCTTTAGGTATAAATTAGATTTAGCTATAGTAATGAACATTTTCCCTACCTGTCGTTATTTTGAGTATAAGGTCATTTTTCTTCGACGGGAAGAGCTCGTAAAGGTAAAGGAAAATGACTTTGCTAGTTTGAAATTACACTTAGGACACAGAGAATGTAAGTGTTTTGAGCCATAGTTAAATGAGCACAGATCATGAGGACGAGCGGGGATTTTCTTTGCCCCCCCCCCCCAGCCTGCGGTGAAAGCGTACAGAGCACAGCGTAGAGCGAGAAAGAAAGAACGCAGGCTACAGGGGTTATGGTGTAAATCAGCTGTTTACTAGCTAACTTCTGCTGCTTACGTTAAAAAAGAAAAACAAAAACATAGAATTGTAACTTCCACTGTATACCAGGATTGGTGGCTACGTTTAATCAGAACTACATTTTGTGTAGCAGTGCATAAAACGCGTGAAACCTACTCATGCAATCATGCAATGAGATATCGGTGTTCTGTAATTTACAGTCAGTAGGGAAATTGGATAGCAGTGATTCTTCCTTACGATGAAGCATCAGCTCGTTATTTTGTGAAACTAAAAGGGCCCCTAGGATAACTAAGCATTTCAATCTCTCTTACCTTAGTAGATAGACCATACGCCTATGATGAAAGATGTTTTACATGAGAGTGCTCCAAATGGGATGAGTCTAACTTATTGCTGGATCTCTTGTCTACATGGATCATGACAGTAGGCATCTTGCTTTTCAAATTGATTGCAGATAAATTTTGCTCATCTGACTTTCCTGTTGCGAGAGGGAAAGACAGAGCCTACCCTTGAGATTAGTTAGCCTCAGTAATTTAGAGTCAACTGCTGTCAGTCTGCTTAGACGTGATTAGTGCATCATGACTTTTATTGAGTTACCCGTATTTTAAGATGGGTCCTTTTGCAGTAGATAATTCTTGAAGTTCTGTGTGTTAGTATGGGAGATGGGTCTTGATTAAGTGTAGAATACATGCAGTGCCTTGATATAACTTGAGCGTTTTTAATATATAAATCCAATGAAAACATATGAAATCATTAGAATTTGGTTTGTGACCTTCAGAACTATGCAATATGTGGGACCACCAGATGGTGTAGTGGTTATGTGCTTGGACTTCCACATAGTCTACTGCGGTTTGAGTCCCAGACCCGGCAGCTTGAAACTCATGCAGGGCGATTGTGCATTTGTGCCCCAAATCCCAAGAGGAGAATGGAGAAGGGATTGCAGCATGACCATTCCCCCTGGGGGGGGGGGTGATTTCTCGCTTTCTGTCTCTGTTTCTCTGTCAGTCCAGCAAGCACACCTGCCCTATAGCAAAAAATCTCTCTTGAAAAACAAGCAAACAAAACAGAATTATGCAGTGTGAACCTCCTACGTGTTTTCTTGAAATTTTCTTGCAAAGCCCATTTTATTATTCTTCCCCTACTCTAATAGACTTAAGTAGGAATCTGACAGTGTATACATTAGAGGTTATACACAATTACTAGAGCTAGTACTCTATTATATACTGAAGAGGCAGTTTGATCTAATTCATATATTTACAAGAGCCCGAGTCTTAGGCTGGCACCTAGGTAGAATGACGCCTAGTCTGTAAAGCCCTGTCCCGGCTCAGCAGGGATGTGCTGAGCACTCTTCACTTGTAAGTTTTCTGTGCAGGCAGGAGAGATGCGGACAGGCATGCATGCTGTGTGACTGTCACGTGGATCTATGGATATTTTCCTTTTTTTCTTTCTAAGAATTATTTATTTATTTTTATTTATTTATTGTTATGATTTTAAATTTGCTGTAGGACATGCATGCTCACCAGGGAGAGCTAGTGAATGAGAGAGAGCACAGGCCACCAGATCCAGGACTCGAACCACGATCGGCCATGTGTGAGTCCAGGACAGATCTCCTGCTGCTCCTCTAGGGGGTGTTTTCTAAAAAGGACTTGGACAGATATCAACCAGCATTTACTTGTTCACCTAACTGTGACAATTTCAGGGCATCAAGGAAAAAACTGTACATTTGAATGTTGAGTGCAGTGAATATCTTACTGGTTCTGTAGTAAACCAGTTTTCCATCCTGTTTTAGACCCTACAGGCTGTCTTCTGGCTACAGTATTAGCAGCTAGGGTGAAGGGTGATGCAGCGGCACTACTGAAACATTCTATCTCATTTGCTCATTCTCTCTCTCTGTAAATTTTGTACCATTTTAAGCCTTTTGGTAGATTTTTGCCATATTTCATTCTGTGTCTCTGTGTTGAATGTAACTACCTAAGTGAGAAACCTTCAAAACATTTATGGAAAGCGAGCACTATGAAAAAGCTAGACATGGGTTTCAAAGCTTTTTGTATCGGTATAAACTCATACTTTAACTCCATCTTTCCGTTAATTTTTTGAAGTCCCTTCATATATAAATAAGTATAAATACATGCATACAATACAGTTTTTTTCTTTTTTCTTTTTTTTCAGAGAGAGATTTTTGCTATAGAGCACATGTGCTTACTAGAGAGACAGAAAACTAGAAATCACTCCCTAGGAGGATGACCATGCTGCAGTTCCTTCTCCTCTATTCTCCTCTTGGGATCTTGGGCACGTACACACACGCACCCGGCATGAGTTTTAAGCCACCGGGTCCAGGACTCAAACTGCAGTCAACTACATGTCAGTCCAGCGACGTAGCCATTACGCCATCTGCTGGTCCCGACAACTTAATATATGTGCGATCACATTGTACATTTTACAGATGAGGAAACTGGGCTCCAGAAAGTCAGGTGATTTCAGTGTTCTACAGCAAGTAAACACTGAATTAAGAGCCGCTCTCGGCCAGTCTTACTCTCCTAGGGCCTTTTTCTTACCTTCCATCTGGGCCCTGATCCTACCCTGAGCGGTGCTTCTGGCCCTTGTCCTGTTTCCTGTCGGCCCTCTCCCAGGCAGCGAAATGCTTCTGTGCTGGTCCTTTTGGGTGTTTCTCGTTTCAATGGCTATGACCTGTCGCTCCGTTAAGTCGTCCAAATCTAGGTTTACGTCTCCAGTCTGCCCGCTACTAATTTACTTGGTGATATTTTGCAGGTTGCTTTTTACATTAATATTAAGTCAATTTGTACCACATAGGTATTTTCCAGCAGTTAAGTAGGGAAGTGTGCAAACAATATATAGGATAGTGACTGACACCTGGTGGACACTGAGTTCTGTGTCACTTCTGGGCTCTGAGGGGTTGTCTCAGTGCTGTAGATATGTTAGATGGAGGGACTTTGGTCGGTTCTGTGTGTGTGTGCGTGTGTGTGTGTGTGTGTGGGAGAGAGAGAGAGAGACAGAGAGAGAGAGAGAGACTAAAAGGTACCTGCCATTCTCATCCGATCAGTGTGTTACTTGCTCAGAGTGGGTTCTGAAACCACTTTAAGGTACAATATTTTGTTATTTCTGGGTACAGAAGATCTCTCTTTTCATTGATCTTCAGTAAGATTGAAATGTAAGTCGTCAATGAGATTTCATAGTGCCAAAAAGCTTACTATGGTGTGCATTATGCGATTTGTTTAGTTTTTTCCTTTATTTTTTTTTTTTCAGGAAATTTGGTGAGCGGCCTCCACCGAAACGACTCACTAGGTAAGCGTGACATTAGCCTCTCACTCAGAAGCTCATAAAAATATGTACCTCGTCATTTCAGAAGCCATGTTAGGTGATATGGCTTTAAAAATAGTTATAACTTTGTCTTAGGGAACAGTTCTTAGCTATAACACCAAAAATACTATCTAGAGAATTAAAAAATGATCAGGACCAGCAGTTGGCGTAATGGCTATGTTGCTGAATTCCCATGTAGTTGACCACAATTGGAGTCTCCGACCTGGTGGTTTGAACTCGCGCTAGGCTCCCGAGAGGAGAAGGGATTATGGCATTCTGCCGGGGGGTGATTTCTTGTTTTCTGTCTCTCTGTCTCTCTCTGTCTTTCTGGTGAGCACATGCACCCTATAGCAAAAACCTCTCCAAAAAAAGGAAAAGAAAAAAAAAGATCAGTTTTTCCCCATCTGAATTAAGGTAAAGACTATTAAGTGAACTCTCAAAAGTCAGTAAAGAGGAAATAACCCATTTCTGGAAAGAGAAAGTGATTTGAGCAGATATTCGTGGAACTGTGAGATGCATGTCTTCATCTGTTTGGATACTGTAACAGTGTACCATAGACTGGCCATAAAGCACAAGTACTTCCCATGGTTCTGGAGGCTGGGAAGGCCAGAATCAAGGTACGCAGGCAGATTTGGTGTCTGGTGGGTGCTGCTTCCTGATTGATAAATGACCATCTTTTTGGTATGTCCTTATATGGCCGAAGGATAAAGACACTGATCCCATTCAGGACCTAATCATCTCCCAAATGCCCCATCTCTAAATGCTATGGCATTTCAGATAAGGTTTCAACATACACATTTTGCAGGGACAGGCTTGTCTGTGGCAATGAGATACCTTTATTCACCTACTAAAGTGTCTAGTATTTAAAGGATTAATTGTCATATGGAACAATAAAACATTCATATGCTGGTGGGGATGTAAAATGGTACAATAACTTTGGAAAATTATTTGGCCCCACTCCCTACTGTTTTTCAATAAGTTCTCTAAATTCTCTCTCTCTCTTTAATTTACTGAAGGGTTGGTTCATGCACTTGCTGGGGAGAGATGCACAGAGAGAGAATTCACTCCTTCAGGGGAAGATGGCCACACCACAATCCCTTCTGCCCCTTTTTTTCTTTTCAGGGATTTTGGGCATGCACATGCATGCACATGCATGCAGCATGTGTTTCAAGCCACTAGGTCTGGAGACTCACATGTTGTAGTCAGCCATGTGTGATCCAGACCCTTGAACCAACTGCCTTCAGCTTTTCTGCTTTAATTTTTAATTGGATTTTACTTGGAATAAATAATTTGTATAGAGAATCATTAAATAAAATTAGTAAAGAATATACTTCAAAGCTCACATTCAGTGTTTTAAGGTAACTATTCTAAAATAAATTGAGATTTACCTTTGTCATTTTTTTAACCGTTTGGTACTGCATTATAGTAATTCTGCTATTAAAGGTTCTTCAGTACTTATACAATGTTTTTCCTGAAATGAGGTTTCCCTCTATCTTTCTTTAAAAGACATTTAATGGGAGAGCAGCAGGTGGCATAGTGGTTAAGGGCACTGGACCCACATGTGGTGGATCATGGTTCGAGTCCTAGAACCTGGCAGCCTTCCTCTCTCTCTTCCTCCCTCCCTCCCTCCCTTCATCTCATGAGTGCACGTGCCCTATAGGAAATTTAAAATAAGTAAATAATAAAATTCAATAAATACTTCTAAAGAAAAAGACATTTGATGATTGTGGCACCTTACTATTAAAATATTTTCAATTCTGTGATCTCTAATCCGGGTGATATAACCCACTCTCCAGCGTGTTTCTGGCTGTCACAGTTCAAGGAGAGATGTGGTACGGGTAGCTTCTGGGTAGAAGCTGGGTGCTGTCCAGTATCCTGAAGTGCATGGGACAGTCCCTTCGCAGAAAGAGCGACGGGGTGGTGGTCCCGGAGGTCGAGGCCGCTGGCTGCCCCATGGCCAGCTGCATGGTTTGAGTCCTGAACCTGGCAGCTTGAAAATCATGCCAGGCGCGTGTGCATATGTGCCCCCAAACCCAAGAGAATGGAGGAGAAGGGATCGTGCCATAGCTGTCTCCCCTGGTGGTGTTTTCTCTCTCTCTCCGTCCCCCCACCCGTGTGTGTGTGTGTGTGTGTGTGTGTGTTTCTGTCTCTCCGGTGAGTGCACATGCTCTGTAGCAAACTGGAAAAAACAATGGTTTTGACTAGAATACCAGCAGTGCTGAGATAGAACCCTATTGTATAGACAAAACCTACTTTAGTTGGATGAGAAGCACATGGGCTACCATCCCATAGGCTTTACTCTTTCATTGTGTTTATTTATATGCCATCCTTTTTTCATGACTCCTTATTAAGGTGCAGAGGTAACTTAGCAAGCTTTAATTGCCAGAGGGTATAATTTTTTTATGTTTAATATTCCGTTAATAAAGCAAGGTTTATTTTTCTTGTTGAAAGAAGCTATTTGGCAAATTGCTGTTACAGGGCTGTTATTAGTGATTACCTTGTGGCTCCAGTACTGTTTCGGGAATTTCTATTCAAACTGTGATGGAAAAGATGAGGAAAACTGGTGCTGTCACCTGCCTTCGTCATAAACACCTTGAGACTATCTCAATTGTGAATAGTAGTTTCCAATACTGGAAACTAGCCATGTCCAGTACATCTTCATTCAGGAGAAAGATAGGTGTGCAGCTTACCTGTGAACTCGCAAAACTCGTGCTTTGCAAGTTGGTGCGATGCCTGATCTTTCCCCTCTAGGCTCTTTTCAAATGTGCTTTCAAAGTTTCAGCAGATAGCCCTCTGCTCCCCTTCCTCCTGCATTCTGTGTAGTCATTAGCTGTTCAAAGGTGAAGTCTCCTTTCTAAGGGAGTATAGCAATCGGTAGAGTCTACTGACTCTTGCTATCAATTTGTGGGGCTAACTTAGGTTAGAATTTTTCAGTTTGAGATATTACTGTCTTTATTTGGCAGGTAAGAGAACTCAGGCAGTTTGTGGGTGACGGGGTAAGATTCAGACCCTAGTCTGTCGTACAGCAGAAAACTCAGGCAGTTTGTAGGTGACAGGGTAAGATTCAGACCCTAGTCTGTCGTACAGCAGAAAACTCAGGCAGTTTGTAGGTGACAGGGTAAGATTCAGACCCTAGTCTGTCGTACAGCAGAAAACTCAGGCAGTTTGTAGGTGACAGGGTAAGATTCAGACCCTAGTCTGTCGTACAGCAGAAAACTCAGGCAGTTTGTAGGTGACAGGGTAAGATTCAGACCCTAGTCTGTCGTACAGCAGAAAACTCAGGCAGTTTGTAGGTGACAGGGTAAGATTCAGACCCTAGTCTGTCGTACAGCAGAAAACTCAGGCAGTTTGTAGGTGACAGGGTAAGATTCAGACCCTAGTCTGTCGTACAGCAGAAAACTCAGGCAGTTTGTAGGTGACAGGGTAAGATTCAGACCCTAGTCTGTCGTACAGCAGAAAACTCAGGCAGTTTGTAGGTGACAGGGTAAGATTCAGACCCTAGTCTGTCGTACAGCAGAAAACTCAGGCAGTTTGTAGGTGACAGGGTAAGATTCAGACCCTAGTCTGTCGTACAGCAGAAAACTCAGGCAGTTTGTAGGTGACAGGGTAAGATTCAGACCCTAGTCTGTCGTACAGCAGAAAACTCAGGCAGTTTGTAGGTGACAGGGTAAGATTCAGACCCTAGTCTGTCGTACAGCAGAAAACTCAGGCAGTTTGTAGGTGACAGGGTAAGATTCAGACCCTAGTCTGTCGTACAGCAGAAAACTCAGGCAGTTTGTAGGTGACAGGGTAAGATTCAGACCCTAGTCTGTCGTACAGCAGAAAACTCAGGCAGATCGTGCCATAGCTGTCTCCCCTGGTGGTGTTTTCTCTCTCTCTCCGTCCCCCCCCCCGTGTGTGTGTGTGTGTGTGTGTGTGTGTGTGTTTCTGTCTCTCCGGTGAGTGCACATGCTCTGTAGCAAACTGGAAAAAACAATGGTTTTGACTAGAATACCAGCAGTGCTGAGATAGAACCCTATTGTATAGACAAAACCTACTTTAGTTGGATGAGAAGCACATGGGCTACCATCCCATAGGCTTTACTCTTTCATTGTGTTTATTTATATGCCATCCTTTTTTCATGACTCCTTATTAAGGTGCAGAGGTAACTTAGCAAGCTTTAATTGCCAGAGGGTATAATTTTTTTATGTTTAATATTCCGTTAATAAAGCAAGGTTTATTTTTCTTGTTGAAAGAAGCTATTTGGCAAATTGCTGTTACAGGGCTGTTATTAGTGATTACCTTGTGGCTCCAGTACTGTTTCGGGAATTTCTATTCAAACTGTGATGGAAAAGATGAGGAAAACTGGTGCTGTCACCTGCCTTCGTCATAAACACCTTGAGACTATCTCAATTGTGAATAGTAGTTTCCAATACTGGAAACTAGCCATGTCCAGTACATCTTCATTCAGGAGAAAGATAGGTGTGCAGCTTACCTGTGAACTCGCAAAACTCGTGCTTTGCAAGTTGGTGCGATGCCTGATCTTTCCCCTCTAGGCTCTTTTCAAATGTGCTTTCAAAGTTTCAGCAGATAGCCCTCTGCTCCCCTTCCTCCTGCATTCTGTGTAGTCATTAGCTGTTCAAAGGTGAAGTCTCCTTTCTAAGGGAGTATAGCAATCGGTAGAGTCTACTGACTCTTGCTATCAATTTGTGGGGCTAACTTAGGTTAGAATTTTTCAGTTTGAGATATTACTGTCTTTATTTGGCAGGTAAGAGAACTCAGGCAGTTTGTGGGTGACGGGGTAAGATTCAGACCCTAGTCTGTCGTACAGCAGAAAACTCAGGCAGTTTGTAGGTGACAGGGTAAGATTCAGACCCTAGTCTGTCGTACAGCAGAAAACTCAGGCAGTTTGTAGGTGACAGGGTAAGATTCAGACCCTCGTCTGTCTTACAGCAAAGCTGAGTTCATAAGCACTGCAAAAATGTCTCATATTGTAATTTTGCCCTTGAGGACAACCTGCCCAGGCGTGAGTCCTAGCTCTTCATTATCATCTCGGGAGAGTTATTTACCCCTCCCCATGACTACAATGTGCAGGGTAATATGTCACCCTCAACCTTGTTGGCCGTGCTAGTACTTAGAACAGCACTGGCACAGAAGGATGGCTTCGTTTTAGCTCTTTGATGATTTTAAGTATTATCTCCTTTGCAGAAAAGATTTGCGGTTACCCCAGATAATAATCAAATACCAGCTTGTGTCCTGTTTCATGGATCATCATGAAAGGATGGAAGTGTAAACAATGACTCTTGCTCCTTAAAGACTTTATAGTCTATTTGAAAGATGAAAAAAAAAAACAAAACATAAAACAAAACCAAGAAACCAGACAAACATAATCAAGTAATTGCTAAGTGATATAATCATAGAGTCTATAAATGCAAACAATTTACTTTAGAGAAATACATTTGCAACTTGAGTTTTTTCCAAGTACATGCAAGTTGAGTATATGTTATCTGAAATGCTTAGAACCAGAAGTGTTTGGATAGCAGATGTTTCTGGATTTGGGGATACTTGCATATATCAAGTGAGATATCTTGAATAGAACCCAGGTCTAAATACAAAATTCATTTTTCATATACACCTCATGCACATAACCTGAAGGTATTTTGTACACTATTTTGTATTGACATTCCCTACTGCTTACCGAGTCCTTGCAACTCAGAGGCAGTTCTGGCCTGCTCTGTCGCTAGGAACAGAAACGTTGGCGCCTAGTAATTTAAGAGAATAGGGGTTCGTTCACTTCATGATTTGGAGGTCTAACGTCCAGTTGCCCTGGTGAGGGTCTTGCTGATGGATCACATGGAAGATGGAGCAGGATTCAGCCATGGAGGCCCCGCCCTGATGCCTGGTCACTCCCCACAGCCTCCCACCTTTCAACGCCGTCATCAGATTAAGTCTTAATATCCTTAGAAAGCAACCAGATTTCAACGTGTGACCCTTCAGGGACATAGTCAAACCATAGCAGAGGTCCTGGACACCTGTCACGATTGACATTTGTTGTGTAAAGGACCTACTGACACACCAGCTTCTCCCAAAACAGCAGCTGTAGAGTGCTTAAGCTTCCTGTCCCCTACTGTCTCCTGAAGCCTCCGTAGTGTGACAGCCTTGTATAAGTTTGTCTTGTCTCTGTGTTTATTCAGCCTTTCTAGAATTAACTACCTAAAAGGGAAAATTACCCATGTGCTTAAAAAACCCTTCAAGATTTCTCATTGCTTTTTGTTTCGATTTAAAATCTAGGTTCCACACCATGTTGTTTTTCTTATCATGTAGTTGAGAGAAAATTGGATCTTTTCCCAATTTATAAAGGGATTTTTTTTACACAATTTATGTATTTCTCCAGATCTCTGAAAATAATATTCACTGCTACCTCTTTTATCATCATCATCTATAATGGGTTGATACTTGAGTGAGCTTAATCTTTCACACTTCATACTCCTATGATTTTTTATAGTAGTTAAGTATACAGATGTCCGATTTCAAGGCCTTCCAGTTTGCCTCTGCCCCTTTCGTCAGCCTTGTTTCCTGCCATGGCTCACTTGAGTATCTTGCAGAAACTGATTCCTAACTGCCACTTAGCCAGTGCAAGACTTCAGACGAGACAGTCAAAATAGTCTTCCTAGCCTGTTGGATTATGAGGATTAAATGAGATAATGCAGCTAAAGCCTTCATTTCGGGCCTGGCCGGGAGAAGCCACGCCAGGAGCATCAGCAGCTGTGGTTTTGCTGTGACTCTCTCTCAGCCCCGGCTTGCCTTTCCTCCCTCTTCCCACTTCCTGGGTGGACTCCTCTCTTCCCTTCAGGATTCAGCTTTCCTGAGAAACTTTCCCCGCCATGCCGTCCTTCGTCACTCACCCCCTCCACGGAGACGTTCTCGTACTGGTGCATTTGTGTGTGCCTCTATTGGGTCACTGGGTTTTGTTAAAAGTGGAAGTTTGAGTTCCTTTTTCAGTAGAGATTAGTTCTCCACCCATACATACCTCGGGGTCCGTAAATACAAACGCTCTCATCTAGGTTATCTCAGTTAATTCCACAGCCAGCCCATGTTAGTAGGTGTTGTTATCTCCATTTTCCACATAGAGACACAGGCTGCATGAGGTTATTTGCCCCGGGCTACGGACTGTGTAAGAGTTAGAAATGTGGAATCCCCAGTCAGTCACCCCCTGCTAGCCTATAGCTGTCTTTATACTCTGCATTCCTCTTGGTAGTATAAATAGAGTAGCATTTAACTTAGTGAAAGTATGTTTTTTCTAGAGTTTATTTCTTCCATATGAAAATACAGGCACCCTCAACAGAGTCCTCACTCTGTGAATCCCTCCCCCCACCCCCCGCAGCTGGTTCGGTCACCAGCGTGTGCGCGTGTGCAGGGAGCGCTCAGGAGCAAACCCGGGATCCACCCCATATCCATCCCATGGGGGTCCAGCTGCAGCCAGACCACACCACCATTTGTCCCCAGACTTGAGTACAGTATTTCTTGATGATTGTCTGAAGCATCTTTGCTCTAATTTGGGGATGTGTGGGAACATCACAAGAACCGGGGCTCTGCCCATTCTGAATTGCCGTAGTTTGATCTGTATAGAGCTTGCTTTCTTTATACTATGTAATACTGCTTAGCAAAATAATTGGGTAAGAAAATATATTTAAGACATTGAACCATTTTTAAAAATTATTTAATTTTATTTATCATTATTTTTTACTTTTTTAAAGAATTATTTAATTCTATTTGTTGTTATTTTTTAATTTGACCAGAGAGAGAGAGGGAAAGCGAGAAAGCAAGCTGCCAGGTCTGGCACTCTAACCATGGCTGGCAATGTAGGAATCCAGCTTTATCCACATGCCACCTGCCAGCCCCATCATTAATTTTTAAAAAATTTTCTTCAAGTCACATGCACTCACCAGAGAGAGAGAGAGGGAGAGAGGAAGCAAGTTGCCAGGTCTGGGACTTGAACCACAGTCAGCTCTGATGGAGCCCAGTGCCTTCACCAGCATGCCACCTGTCGACCCAAGACACTGACCTTTTTATGGACTGTTTGCTTAATTAATAAACATGTAGTCAGAGCAGTTTTTACCTGAAAGAATTAACACTTTTTATCCCCAGAATTTAATTCAGGTTTTCACTAATTTCAACATCCTTCAGATAATTATGTGTTTGCATGTCAATGATAGGTCTCTTTCTTAGTCCTTATGCAAGATTGTCATTTTAAGATTATGTAATCATGGGGGCAGGTGGTGTGATGGTTAAGGCTCTGGACTCCCCACATGGCTGATGAAGGTTCCAGTCCTGGACCTGGTGGCTTGCTTTCTCACTTTCCCTTTGCCCCCCTCTCTCTTTATCTCTGGTCAAATTAAAATAATAATAGTAAAAAATGAAATAATACTTTTTTAAAAAGATTACATAATTATAAATTTGGATGACCTAATTTGTTACAGCTTTAATGCTCAATAAAAAGAATTGATTTTTTTAAGGAATTATTTAATTTTACTTAGAATTGTTTTTAATTTGTTATTAGGCGCATATGCTTACCATAGAGACAAGAGAGAGAGAAAGTGAGAAAGCAAGCCACCAGGTCTGGGACTCAAACCATGGTTGACCCTGTGAGTCCAGAGCCTTAACCACCATGCCACTTGCCGGCTCCTGAAAAGGACTGATTTTAATAGCTGGGGGATGAAGAGCTGGGAAGAGGACAAAATGGTTAAACTACGAAAGTATGGCATTTCGCTAACTTTATAAATAGTTTAAGGCCACTTTAGTAATGCAAATATTGATTTTGGGTATTCAGAAGTGCTTGAATTGAGTTACATCATAAATTTCAAAGAACGAGGGACAGGTCCTGGCTTTGAAGAACAGCGCAATGCTGGGTGCCACGCGGCAGGGCTCCCGGTTCTTACCCCAGGTCCGCCCCAACACTGCCGGGGTGCCCACCATCCTGGCTGGCTCAGGGCTAGGGGAGGGTCCTGGGTGTGAGGAGTCTGTGGAGGTTGCCTGTCTCTTTTTCTGTTTCTCCCTCAGGAAATAAAAGAAAAATAAACTTAAAACACAGAGTTGAAAATTAACAGTATCTGTTGTGCTATTGTATAAAGATTTTAAAATTTAACGCATGAATTTGTTTTGCTTTATAGTTTATGTTTTTAGGTTTCTTATTTAAAAATATTTATAATATTCATTACCATTCCTCTCACTACAGAGCATAATTATTAAGAAGAAAAGGTTTCATCAAAAATTTCACCCTAGTAATAGTTTCATTTATATTTCATTTTAGGGAAGCTATGCGAAATTATTTAAAAGAGCGAGGGGATCAAACAGTACTTATTCTTCATGCAAAAGTTGCACAGAAGTCATACGGAAATGAAAAAAGGTAAGATTATTCTTTGCCTGCTATTTGTAGTTATCACGTGAATTTGCAAATGATATTTTCATACGCATGTCAGATGATGGTTATATTACTGTATTGACTTTCACAAAAGGAAAAATAGGGGATTTTGTCTTTTGGAGGAGAGAAAGAAATAAAGCGGATTGTGGCACAGCAAAGCCTAACGGAGAGCTTCATAAAGATCGTTGATCTAAATCCCTGATCTTACAAAATGAAATAATCCGCAGTTTTTCTTTTGGGCATAGTATTTCCCCAATATTTCTGTGAATCATTCGCTACTTCAGAAAGAAGTACCCTGGGACGGTCTGGAGCTGTTCGAACTGAGCAGTGTTGTGGATCGTAAAGAGAAGAGCCCCGAGCACCAACCTCTCCCCATCCTGTGCCTGTCCTGGTCAAGCAAACGGTGGAGCCAGCAGGTGGCATGGCGGTTAAGGTGCTGGACTCCTGCATGACCCACCATGGTTCAAGTCCTGGACCCCATGCCTTAAAAATCACACTGGGCATGTGTACGAGAGTGCCCAAAAGTACCAAGAGGAGAGTGGAGGAGAAGGCATGAGTTATGGCCACTCCCTGCAGGCGGGGTGATTTCTCACTTCATGTGCGCCCTATGGCAAAAAACCTAAAGAAAAAACAGCAAATTGAGTTTATATTCACATATACCTGAATATGGACACTTCAGAAGTTACCTATGAAGCAGATTAAGTTGTTCAAATGAATTGTGATACCAAATAATCTTTATATTTAATATTTTTCATTATCTTATACATTATTTTTTGTAACATGTAAATACGGATTTTTGTTGTTAAGTTTTATTTGGTTTCCAGAAATTTTTGTTAGCAAGTTTCTCGAGTCTGTCTTTCGGACAGTGTGTTTTAAGTATAAGGATAGCCAGCTTGTGGGGGAGATTAATTGGCTGGAAGGCATCAGAATCTGTAAGAGGAGGAGCGAAAGCTCAGGTTTTGGGGTTGTCTGAAAGGAATGAATGGACTCTCAGAGCGTGAGCTACACAGGGAACTCTAGCACACGCATTTGAGAAGGGAAATGTGAGTATATACAAGCAGACGTCACAGAGCTCATGGACAAACGATATTGAAATTCAGGGACCAGTAGGTGGCATGGTGATTAAGTGCTGGACACTCCCACATGGGCAACTACAGTTCAAGTCCCAGACCTGGTGGCTTGCTCTCTCACTTTCCTTCTCTCTCTGTGTTTCTCTCTGGTCAGATTAAAATAAACGAATGAATAAATAAAAATTAAATAAATCGTTTTTTAAAAAAAATTTGAAATTCATGCAGAGTGTTTTTATAATAGTCATTTCCCATGAACTTTCTGAAGACTATATAAGACTATATGCTAGAAGAAAATTTGAAAATCTCATTCTCAAAGTCTAAATCCAAGCTGAAAGAAAAGTAAAGCTTCTGGGTTGTTGGAAAAGTCACGATATATTTTTTCTATGCAAAAATGCACTTTTCCGACAACCCAATATTTGATCATTTTACTCTCAGGATGAACAAGTGAAAACAATATTTAGGACTCCTTCTGCCTAATGTCCTTCTTTCAATCCTATGTTATTCGGGTGTACCAAAGTTCTGCTTATTTTATCTTATTTTACTAACAAGACTTAATCATTGGTTTAGAGTTTAACATGGGAAGGCATTGGTTTCTACAGTTTGGGACATAAACTAGTCAAGGTAGTGGATATTTTTTCATGAAATTGATGCTGAAATTCAGCATATTTTTCAATAACGAAATTGAGTATGTGTACATAGCAAATCATCGGTTTTCTAAGCCAAACAGAACACCCCACTGGAAGAAGAATCTCAGGGCCAGCTCTGCCTCTCATAGTGAATCTGAAGTAGAAGCAGTGCCCACAAGCCAGGCGTTGTTCTGGAGACGCTTTCACAAATATTTCGAAATCCTGATTCGTAGAACCACCCTGCAACCGCATTATAATTCCCTTTCTCAGTAAGGAGACTGAAGATCGGTCTTTAAAAACGCTCAGTGGTGGTTAAGGGTGCTGGACTCCCACATGGCCAACCACGGTTCAAGTCCCAGACCTGGTGGCTTGCTTTCTCACTTTCTCGCTCTGTCTCTCTCTCCCTCTGTCCCTCTCTGGTCAAATTAAAATCAATAAAGTTAAATAAAATAATTTAAATAAAAGCGCTCAAGATTGCCATCCTGGCTCTGCAGAGTCCTGACTAACATGGAGGGATCGGGGTGTATGGACCCTCGTCTCTACTTCCGGATTCCTTACCCTGTCTACGACCCTGATCTTCGCAGCCTTCCATTTGGCATTTGAGGCTCAGTTATCTACAGCAGGGCTTGAAGGTGGAAGAGGGGGAGATGCCCGGAGAACGGAAACCCGGGAAAGCGAACTTCGCCCGAGACCCCAGGAGACTGGCTGCTCCAGTTGGATTATCAGTAAACGTGTTTCAGCTTCCATCTCGGGCTCTGGCGCTTTTCTTTCTCCAAATTTTTGAAAACATGTTCTAGCACAGTGGAATCCTTTTATTCATCTGTTCTTCATTTCTGACCACCTCTTAGATCCCACACACCATGCTAAAGAATCTTTACCAGGAGTTTTAGAAGTTAAAAATGTACGCATACCGCCCAGATGAGATGGCGCGAGCAGTCACACCTCTGCGAGGCTGGGCGGCACAAGGGGCCGGGTGGTCCCTAGACCGACCTCAGCAGGCTGGCCGAGCTGGCACAGCTAGCTGGGAGACGGGGCAGGAGGACTGTGGCCACCCTCACCCCCAGCCCCACCCCATTAAGGAAAACATGAGAGAATACCAAGCTGCCATGGTTTACCAAGTTAAAAAAGATTTAATGGTTATCTTTTATCGTAATAGTCAAAAGAAGGCTTGACGAATGTAAGCTTCTAAGTCCTCCCAACAGTGACGAGAAGGCCAGAGTAACTGCTTCCCCATAGTTTTACTCTTTGTGTTGTTCATATTTCCTAAGTGCATGTGCACTGCCTTAGACGGAGGAAACTTGTTAAATTTACTTCATCTTAAAAAAAAGTAGCAGCAGATGGCATGGTGGTTAAGGCACTGGACACTCCCACATGGCCGACAACGGTTCGAATACTGGACCTGGTGGCTTGCTTTCTCACTTTCCCTCTCTCTCTCTCTCTCTCTGTATCTCTCTCTGGTCAATTTAAAATAAATGATGAATAAGTAAAATTAAATAAAGAATTACTTTAAAAAAAAAAAAGTAGCAGTAGGTGGTTGCCGATGCTGGTCCAGCCCCCAGGGTGACCTGTGGCTCTGCAGAGGCTCCTTCACGGATTCAGTGAAGAGGCCTGGTCTCCTCCCCGTGGAGAAGTGCACAGCGGAAAGAGGAGGTTGTGCGTGCTTTCCTGCTAAGCCGTTTGGGGCTTTCTGAAGAGCTGCATAAGGCAGGAGGTGAACTGGGGACAGGCCACAGTCGCCTGGGCCACACACACTGGACGTATACAGAGAACTCCAGTGAAGGGTCAGGACATTTTATCCTAAAATTTAAACTTGCTCTTGACGCTTTTATAAAAGCCCACTAACTAATATTTATTTGAATAGCACATCCAGTATCCCATTCAGGTCAGCGGTTAGTTTTAATCATTCATTAATGAAGGTCTCCTCGGAGCCAGCAGGTGGCATGGTGGTTAAGGCGCTGGACCACAGTTCAAGTCCTGGATCTGGTGGCTTGCTGTCTCACTTTCTGTCTCTCTTGTGCGCACGTGCATGCATGTGCCCTATAGCAAATTTAAAAATGATAATAAATAAAATTAAATAATTCTTTTTTTAAAAAGTAGCTCTCCTCAGGTTAAAAAACAAACATTTTAAAAGATTACTTTGCCCGGAGGAAATGTTACTATGCCATTTCATGAAATATTAACATTCAACTTTGTTTCCAAAAAAGTAATTATGAGACAATGAACAGTAAAGTCTTTAGACCCGTTCCAAAGTCATACTGAGAATGCGTGTTGAGGGAGTAACCGGGATGTACAGAGCACTCATAAGAACGGTGCTTTTGAGCTAAATAGCCATTAAAGGGTAATGATCCTGCAGAGGAAGGCAGACAATGTAAATGACCGGATTTGGGCTAACCTATTTTATATATCGGGCTGAAGAAGATGCGTTCTTTTTTTAATTTGTAAGGTGTTTTCCAAATCTCATCTGAAGATTTGAGGAAAAAGTTGTTGAATCATTCCCTGAAAATAAAGACTTGATTGTTTGTACCGTGGAATGAATAAAATCTTAAATACATGCATGTCGCCACCTAGTGGCAGCGGCAAGCATTGTCCGTCGTGATTGCTGGGAGCTGCTGGGGAAGATGAGGAATTAAAGGCGGGGTTGTTTCGGAGGGATCCTTTCATAACAGCTGCTGAAGTCTGTGAGCTGGTCCCTTACTGGCTAAACTTGGCTCTGTGTACTCGCCACACTGGCCAGCTGTCTAGGTTCAAAGCCCATCATTTTCACATACCATCATAAAGATATATTAAGTTTTTCTTTGGCTAATTAGATGGCCTTTTATTCTTATCATACGCTTTCCTTTTTTTTTTTTTTTTTTGGTGTGTGTATCCTTCCCCTTTTCTTATCTATGTTCGTATCTCTTGTGTGATTATTGTATTACTACCGAAATCCGTGGAAGTGAAAGTTTGACTCACTTGCCACTTCTTAGAGGGTGGCAATGTTGGGGTATTTACGTTCATCATTTCCTTGTACAAATAATGTTTTAGACTATTTTGGACTTGCTGTTTTCTTGCATCACAGTTTTTTGGATAGTGAAGCTGATATTATAAATAAATAAATAATAAAAACACAATGCTGTGGGACCAGATGGTGGCCTGGGGTCACGGCGGTGGCTCTCGCCTGGCCGACCTCGCTGGTCAAGCCCTGCGCCCCATGACTTGAAAGCTTGAAAACACACTGGGTGCGTGTGTGCGTGCATTCCCAAAATCCGGAGAGGGCAATGGAGGAGAAAGGGTTTACAGCATGCCCATCCTTTGGGGAGTGATTTTTCACTCCCCCTCTCTCTCTCTGTCTTTGTCTCCACTGTATGCACATGCCCGTAGCAAAAAAAAAAAAAAAAGAAGGAACAAACCAGGACTAGCTAAGGGGCTACTGAAGAGAGCCCCGATTTTCCTTACATTGAATACGTCACGGAAAGCACTTTCAAGATGGAAGTGCGGCCAGCCTTTAGAGTAGGGATTCGTCGACCTCTCTCACTTACACCCTGCTGGTTTCATGCCAGAGCACTCTGGGGAAGCCAGCACTGCTCGTGCCTTCATTGTTTATCTCTCAGTTGTTTCAGATTGAAATGAAAGTGCCTTTATGATAGCGCATGGACCCTGACTACGGCCGGCATACTCGTATGAAACACGCTCCTTGGTTTTTATAGCTGGTATGCCAGTTTCCGAAGGAAGCGCCATACCCGTGTTTAGTAAGATGCTAGCAGGAGACCGTTTCCCACACCGAGGCCTTCTCAGCCCGAGTGCCAGCCTAGGTCCTTGAGTCTGTGCCACCGTGAGTATTGGGTGGCTCCCAGCCTCGGAAGCCAGAAAGATCCCTGGTGTGGACTTGAACTGAACCAGCTCCAGGACCAGGCCAGCTAACTCAGGCATCCCTCCAGACTCGGAGTGGCCTGGAGCCTGGCCCACCACCTTGGCCATGACCTTCATGCCCATGACCTCAGTGTGAGTAGCAGACATGGAAGCTGCTCTTCTGCTGGTTTAGATAAACGTGAGATTATACAGGCGTCCCTCCTTGCTCGGGTCGATCCTGGGGCCTGCCCATCACCTCCGGCCATGCCCTTTCGAGCCCTCACCTCGCCACTCCAGCCACTCGTCCGGTCCCTGCTGGCGCTCTTCCTGCCCTAGCACCTGGCTCGGGTTCTTTCCTCCTGTGAAGCGCCCTTGGCCCAGCCGTCCACAGCTTCAGGCTGTGACTCAGAGCCATCTTCAGGAGCGTTCCCTGGCTACCCTGGGTCCCTGCATGTCAAGTACCCCTTCCCTGTCTTGTTTTCCCCCTCAGTATTTGTCTTCAACTAATACTGTATTTGTTTTACTCCTTTCCTTTGTCTTATCGTCTGTCTCTCCTGTTAGACTCTTCACTTTTTTTGTGTGGATTCACCAGTGGGAGGAAGAGAATGATAAAGCACCCCCCACCCCCCGGAGGGACAGTCATACTGATGTCCCTTCATTCTCTTCGAATTTTGGGCACACACACGTGCCCAGCATGCTTTTTAAGCTGCCAGGTCTAGTACTTGAACCACGCAGTCAGCCAGCCATGTGGGTTGCAGCCACCTTAACCACCATGCCACCTGCTGATCCCAGAGTTTAACTTCTTTGAGGACAGGAACTCCACCTGAATTTTTTGTTTGTTTTTACCACTTTGTTCTCAGTGCCTGGCATGCTTTTAGGACGTAATTGCTAACTTAGAGAATTAGTGAATATTATTATGTAAACCTAGCTCATGTCTCTTAAGTTATATATAAGTGATCTTTAAAGTAGTCTGGTTAGAGTTGAGCTATGGTCATGGGGCCAGCAGGTGGCGTGGTGGTTAAGGCTCTAGATGCCCACATGGTGGACCATGGTTCAAGTCCTGAATCTGGCAACTTGAAAATCATGCCAGACACCTGTGTGTGTGTGTGTGTGTGTGCGTGCGTGTGCGTGTGTGTGCGTACATGCTTTTATATGTGCTCAAAATCCCAGGAGGAAGATGGGAAGAAGGATTGCACTACCACCATCCCACCTGGGGGTGATCTCTCACCTTCCCTCTCACTGTCTCTGTCTCTCTCTTCTGGAAAGTGCACGTGCCCTGTGGCAAAAACCTTTTAGAAAAAGTAGGCGTCATCATATATTTTGAGTCAGTTCAGTAGCTATGATGGTGGAGGCTGAGGGGACACAAACAAGAGATGGCTACTACCTCCAGGGGACCTGCCGGTGTCTGTGTGTGCACATGTGTGTTCACATGCTTCCACACACATGAACATGCTTTTATTTTCCTCTGTTGGCTTACTTAGTTGCCAAATTTAAAAAGTAGGAATGTCATATAATATTTAACTTCAGCTATTTATTGAGCAGTCGGGGTGCGAGCGTCAGCAGGCCTACATGCTGCAGCTCAGCAGTTGTGAGTGTAAGTGGGTGTGCACTCACACACTTGGCATGCTAGTGCTTCTTTTTACTTTTTTTCTTTTTTGAAAGTTTTTTCCTATAGGGCACATGCAATCACCAGAAAGACAGAGAGACAGAGACAGAAAGCAAGAAATCACCCCCCAGGGGGTGCGTGCACTCTGGGTGTCCTGAGCCACAGGGGCGGGAACTCTAACCTTGTCGGCCGCGTGGCATCCAGCCTCCTCTGGGCAGTGCTGAGCTACCACCCCGCGGGGCTGGCCTAGTTGTGTGGACCCTGGAGAAGACACAGCCCTGCTCTGAGAAGGACGCTGCCTAGCCGAACGTGCAACCCAGGACTTACCTGGACAAACGCAGCCTTGTGGAAGCCTTCGTTTCTGTCCCGTGGGCGTGATTCTTCGCATCACGAAAGCTTCGCCAGCATTTTTGCTTAGAAGCTCTCTCGGTGCATTTCCATGTGACTTGGTTATATGTACAAGGTAAGGAAGTGCTTCCTTAAATCTCACCGCTCTGCTTCTCTGTCTCCCCCACACCTCAGGTTCTTCTGCCCTCCTCCTTGTGTGTACCTCATGGGCAGCGGCTGGAAGAAAAAAAAAGAACAGATGGAGCGCGACGGCTGTTCTGAGCAGGAGTCTCAGCCCTGCGCCTTCATCGGCATTGGGAACAGCGACCAGGAGATGCAGCAGCTGAACCTGGAGGGAAAGGTACCTGGCTGCTGCGGCCCGCGGGCTCGTACTGCCCGAGGTGCTCTGCGCACCCAGTCCTGGCGCGGTGGTTTGCTAAGGGCTGTCGGTCTGGTGTCCTTGAATGTATGAATCCACCAGCAATGGCCCCTCGGGTCGCTGTCTAGCCACGTTCCCGGAGCTCGTGCTGTTGACATCACAGGTGGCAGGCAGGCAGCTCCCTGGCGTGCGTGCGTTAGTGGGCCGTGAATCAGATTTCTGTGGGAAAGCAGTAATCCACCCAGGAGGTGGTCACTTACCTTGCATCCGGCACGGTGTGACGCTCACGTGTCAGTAACAGCGCACCGTCCTGTCACGGTCGACGTCCCCCTGTTCATCCGAGCTGTCCTCGTGGCAGTGGTAGACACATTCTCGAAGCGTCTCCCTGGGTCATCGAGATCACAGATGTCACTTCCCATCCAAATGCTGCAGAACGATACACCAGGGACGAGGATGGCTGCGGTGACTTTCCTCACCCTTGTGGGGGATTTGGTTTTTCTTTATTTTTTTAATTTGCCAGAGGGTGCATGCACTTGCTGGGAGGCAGTGGGGAAGGGGGAGGTGCCAAACACCTGCTGCGGGGCACATTCACACTGCAGTCCCTCCTTCCCGTTGTCCTCTTGGTTCTAGGCATGATGCACACATGCCCCGGGTGCTGCTCAGGCCACTGGTCCGGAACCTGAGCCGAGCCGTCGGCAGTAGGGGATCCAGCCACCTTAACCTCCAGGCCACAGGCTGGCCCTAGAGTTTTCTTTAGTCACTTATTCATTTATTAGGGGAAGAAATGTAAATGTTTTTGGTATTAAATACCAGTTGAGAGTCAGCGAGAGATGGTTCAGGAAGAGAGAACAACGGAACCATGCAGGCCTGAGAGCCCGGTTTGGCCCACACGGCAAAGGTGGCAGCCAGCGGGGGCTGAGCTTCCCGAAGCAGCTCTTCACTCCTGTTCGCCGCACACAGCGTCCTTCTGTGTAAAGACGCGATCGTGTTCTTTCAGTGATCCGCCCGCTGAGCAGTGCAAGTCATCAGTATTGGGGGGAAAAAAAACTAGTTATTTTGCATTGTTTTTTATATTTGTATGTATTTTATATAATCATTACAACACAACTCTAGTGTATTTGCGGTCATGACATTCAGCTGCATGTTGAATGTTTTGGGCCTGAGGTTTCATCAGTGATGTTTTTCATTTGTTCAGCGTTCTCTTCTGTAATTTACACCTTCTGTAGTTGTGGCTAGAGAGTATGCGGTAAGGCTTGCTTTCCTTCTTAGTCCACTTACACGTTTCTCTTCATTAAAAACGCTGCATGCTCTTATTAATGTGTGTTTTTATAATTCAGTATTTCTACGATCTGATTTTTGTACCATTATTTCTAGTGCTTGTTTTTGATGTCGGGGCAGTATTCTTACTGTCTAAAGGGCTTATCACTGAAGAGTTGGTTTTAAGTGAGGTTTGTTCATTGTTTCTGAAGAGATTATTATACGCCGTCTTCCATTCTAGAATTTCGCTAGCTAGTTAGCCTTTTTATATGGTAATGCAAATGTATTTTTAGTTTTTGTTTGCTTATTTTGTTTAAAAAAGCTGTAATATATTCTGTGAATCCAACTTTTTCCTTTTTTATCATGTAACCTAAGTAGTTTGGGGTCAGGGCCTTACAGGTCTCTTTAAAGTTTTACTGAAATTGAACAGTTGTCTAGTTTCAGCAAAGTTATCAGGAATGAGTTTTGTGGATTTATGCTGCTTGCCGGAATTAGGAGCGTATTTCTTTTATTTTCAAGCAGATACATGTATTGGTTTTGTCCGGACGAAGTCCTGGTTATATAGGTCTCATGATCCAGTTTCCTCTGCTCTTTTTCCCTTTCTTTTTCGGCAACACAGCTTACCATTGATGGTAGATTTTAGTGTTTTCTTCTGCCCAGTGTAGGTCATACTCATTTCTATTAACATTCAAGATGAAGTGATCTTAGCGTTCTGAGCTTTCTCATCAGAGTGCAGCTTCCTTTGTCTCAGTACGTATTTCATTCTTAGTTCCTGCGTCTGCCTACTTCGGTGCGTTGATACTAATGAACTCAGTCAGTATCATAGTCCGCTTCTAGGAGCTCTCAGAGCCCTCGTCTGACCGCACAGTTAAACCGTTGCTCAGGGTCGGCATGGCCGTGAGTGCTGTCACTCTGGAAAGCGTGGCAGAGCCAGGACAGCAGCCCACGGATCCCGGCTGAGTGCTGTGCCTCCCAGGGGAAGAGGTGCTGTCTGACTGCACACTGTCCTTTCTGTATTCATTTTTAGCGCTGTTATTAGCTTTACCTTATTTTACATTCTGCCGAGCAAAGCCTCTCAAAACTACAAAACTTGGGGATTTATAAAAACCTTACCAAGTGTAAAATATTCTAGATAACACCTAAGTTTTTTTAGATAACGTTGCTATTGAGAAGTGAAATAAGCTGTTTCGTCATTTGTATCTGCTACTCAGGCTGCTTAGTCAATTTTTAAAGTAAAAGTTTAGAGATAAAAACCTAGACCCCAGCGCCAGCTAGTGGTGTGGTAGCTGGATCCCGCATGGTTGACCACACGGTTCGAGTCCTGGACCAGGTGGCCTGAAATCATGCCGGGTGTAAGTGTGTGCATGCCCAAAACCCCTGAGAAGAAGGAATCGCGGTGTGGCTCTCCTCCCTGGGGCACGAATGCTCTCTTCACGGAGAGTGCACGTGCTCTTTAGCAAAACCGAACAAACATACACAAAATACACGATCCAGATTTTTTGCTACTGGCACTGTGTTTGAGCATCGTTTAACCTATGTAGAGAAAGAAGTTGATAATCTAGGCACCTCGCTAATTCACGAGGTGACCAGAGGAATTGGGAAGGTTGTACAATCGTAACGTAATTGAAGCAGTGTTTAAAAATGTTTGCTGTTTGGCAAGTACTTGAACGCTTCAATACTTCCGTTTTCAGTTACCTGTGATCAGAATTGAGAGCGTTTTCCTTGCTTAGCCCCACCTTTATGTTTTCCCTGGCCACTGGGAGAGGTCGAGGGTAGGGTGAGTGTGGGGGGAGGGCAAATACACAAAAACAAAGCAAAAGTACCCAGCAGCAACAGGGTCTCACCAGTCACACCCCTCCAGCCTCACCCGCCCTCCCAGCTGGCCCTGTTGGTGTGTGGCACCGTGCTCAGATGCGTCTCAGACAAGGTCCCTCTGTGTTGCCCAGGCCAGCCCTGCACCTGAGCCTGCTCCCTCAGCCTCCCGAGGCACTGGGTGACAGGTACACAGCACTGTACCTGGTCTTTAGGCTGGACCTGGAGTTGAGACTGGGCCTGTGCTCCCTTTGATGGAGTTCTTCTGTTGATACAATGAGATCCAGCTCTTGAGTATGTGCAGGGAGTGCCTTAGTGCACTTACGGTAATCCCTTTCCAGTTGAAGAGACTGTTTAACAGTTAGTCTCACATTGTTCTCACCTTACAAAGGGTTCTCCAGCATTCAGCTCCATAAAGAACAACGTGGTATGCGCTGTTCTGAGAAGGACCACTACGATTTCTTACATAGCTCTGCTGAATCGCAATGGCCTTACTCCTGTCTCTTCTTTGCAGATAGTCATCTACTTCTTTAACATAAAAATTCTGTTTTTAAAATTACTGCTGTACCATCAAGCACTAACTCTGTGAAACAGACACAGAGCTATGTAAAATAGGAAGACTTTATAAAAGTCTTTTTAAGAAGGTGAATAGAACACAGTGTCTGTCACTGACAGCTTGGTAAGGAAGATTTTGTGTTACTCTCTTAGGTGAATTTCACTTAGCTTTGCCGTTTGCTTTATCAGCTAGCCATTGGATTATTTTGCTTAGACCAGATCAAACCTAGCCGTAAGCCATTCTGAGTCGTAGGTACATAACTAATGAGGGTTTAGGGTTCTGAAAACGTGTTTGCATTCACAGAATTATTGCACGGCCAAAACATTATACATATCTGATTCAGACAAGAGGAAGCACTTCATGCTGTCTGTGAAGATGTTCTACGGGAACAGCGACGACATCGGCGTGTTCCTCAGCAAGCGGATAAAAGTCATCTCCAAGCCCTCCAAAAAGAAGCAGTCACTGAAAAACGCTGACTGTATGTATACTTGGCGCTGCCTGCCGTGTACCAATAAGTCAGAGCACGTCTTTGTTGCTCAGGGTTTCTGACATGGGCGTATGCGCTCACTATAGAGAGACAGAGGGAGGGAAAGCGAGAAATAAGCCCTTGGAGGGATGGCCACGCCGCAATCCCTTCTCCTCCATTCCCTTCTTGGGGTCTTGGACACGCACGCACATGTGCCCGCATGAGTTTTAAGCCACCGGCTCCAAGACTTGAACCAAGGTGGACTATGTGGGAGTCCAGCAGCGGAACCATTACTCCATCTGCTGGTCCCTGACTAACTATTTTCTTTAAAGAAGTATTTATTTTGTTTTACCTATTTCATCATCATCATCATCATTATTTAACATGCTGTAATCATCAGAGAGAAAGAGAGGGAAAGTGAGAAAGCAAGCTTCCAGGTCTGAGACTCGCACCTGTAGCCCACCATATGGGAGTCTAACGCCCCAACCACCACACCACCTGCTGGCCCCGTGGACTTAATATTTTTAAAATAGTTTCCCCAGACCAGCCAGTAGCATGGCGATTGAGGTGGCTGGATCCCACATGGCTGCCTGCACAGTTCCGGTCTCAGACCCAGTGTCTGGAGAAACAGGCCTGCATATGTGCGTGCATGTCCAAAATCCCTACAGGTTGGAGAGTGGGGGAGAGGAGAGAGCAGCCTCACCATCCTGAGAGAGGTGCTCTCTCACACCCGCCTGCCCCAGCAAAATTACAAGCAATCTTCCCTCTAAGGGGTAGCCTGACATGAAACGTACTGTGTAGCTCTCATATTAAAAGGACTTTTATGGCATTAGCTTGACATTAGCAAGAGTTGCCTTGACTTCTTTTCTTTTCTTTTCTTTTCTTTTCTTTTCTTTTCTTTTCTTTTCTTTTTTTTTTTTTTTTGTGATCACATCTGTACTTTCTTGGGAGTTTTAAGATGACTCGTTATCAGAATCTGTTCGTTGTTAAGTTATAAGAAGGGGTGATCAGAGCTTGCTGAGCCTCAGTCTCTTCTCGCACCCCCTATACCTGAGTGGCATAAACAGGTGCTGTTTTTTCTCCGCAGTGTGCATTGCCTCGGGAACAAAGGTGGCTTTGTTTAACCGACTGCGGTCCCAGACAGTCAGCACCAGATACCTGCACGTAGAAGGAGGCAACTTCCACGCCAGCTCGCAGCAGTGGGGAGCGTTTTACATTCATCTCCGTGAGTATAAACATGCGCACTTGGCGTCTTCGGTGGGACACTGTGAAATTCTCCTTGATAACAAGATGTATGGGTATATTAAGTTTTGCCATTTTCCTAAGCAGGTGGGGAATCTTAAAAGATGCTCACTTAGTCTCTTTCCACCCATTGTAGTGGACGATGATGAATCAGAAGGAGAAGAGTTCACGGTTCGCGACGGCTACATCCATTATGGACAGACGGTCAAACTCGTGTGCTCAGTGACCGGCATGGCACTCCCCAGATTGGTGCGCTCTACTTTTGCTTTAGTGATAAGTGAAGGGAAAACTCGGTCTTGGGGCCAGCAGGTAGTGTGGTGGTTAAGGGCACTGGATTCCCACATGGCCAACTGCAGTTTAAGTCCTGGACCTGGAGGCTTGCTTTCTCACACCCCGCCCCCAACTCTGTCTCTCTCTGGTCAAATTAAAATAAATAAATAAAGTTGAATACAATAATTCTTTTTTAAAAAAATTCATTCATAAGAGCCAGCAGGTAGTTGAGGCACTGAACTCCCACATGGCTGACTGTGGCTCCAGCTCTGTACCCACTGTCTTGAAAAAAAAAAATCCTGCTGTCATGTTGCCTGTGTGGGCCACCCTGGGGGCTGATTTTTTAATTTCCCTCTCTCTGGCGAGCACAAGCACCCTATGACAAAAACTTAAAATAATTCCTTCTTAAAACAGGAATGTGGGACCAGCAGTTAGCGTAATGGCTATGTTGCTGGACTCCCACATAGTCAACCATGGTTCGAGTCCCGGACCTGGTGGCTTAAACTCAGGCCGGACGCGTGTGCATGCGTGCCCAAGATCCCGAGAGGAGAATGGAGAAGGGATTGTGGCGTGGCCATCCCCCCGGGGGATGATTTCTCACTTTCTATCTCTCTGTCTCTCTCTGTCTGTCTGGCGAGTGCACACACCCTATAGCAAAAACCTCTCCAAAAAGAGGGAAAAAAAAAAAACAGGAATGTAATAACATTCAAATATAAAAGTACACCCTAATTTCATGCTTTTAGTTTAAAAAGACATGTCATTCCCCCCTGTGGTTTATGACTGATAATTACATTATACTTATTTCAGAACTGCTTTAAGGTAATTAGCCAGTTTTTATTAAGTGTGTTGTTAATGACTCCCTTGTTACACTATTTCTAATAAGTTTTGTTGCAATTTCTTTTTGGTCATATATCTGAGCATGTTCAATAGCAAGCACTATAAATTAATTACATTGTGATATATTTTCTTTACTTCTGCAAATATACTATATTTTTTGTAGTACCTCCTCTAACTCTATGTAGGGTTAAGTTTTCAAGAGTACAGAAATTTTAGTTTTTTTACGAGGTGTAATTTTTATTAGCTTTCTCTCCCATAATAAATCTCTCTTGAACATAGATTTATTAAAAATTAAATAAAGGTGTTTCTTACTCTACAAGAAGGGGATGGATTTAGGACTTTTAGGTCAATAGTTCTTGAACTGCTTTTCTTAGTAATTGAAGACAAAAGGCCCCGGCAGCTCCAGTCTCCCTCTCCTGTCCCACACCGCCCCCCACACCCCCCTCCTTTTCCCAAAACAATACAGTTTAGTTCTATTAAAGATGAGGAAGATTGTAAGTTTGACGTAAGGTCAGGTTGAAAGGGGTTGAATACAACTGGAATAACATTTAGTATTACAGTTCTAAACATGCTTTATATTGACCTCTTTGGTGAAGTATATCGTTGGCTTCCATTTTCAGGGGCTATTTCAGTCGAGGGGTTGATCTCTAGTTGTCAGAGTAAATGCTTTTATGTTGTGACTTTTTTCTTTTAAAGAATTATTTAACTATATTTAAAAATATATATATTTTTTTATTTGACCAGAGAGGGATGGAGGGAGAGAAAGTGAGAAAGCCAGCCACCAGGTCCGGGACTCAAGCCATAGTTGGCCACGTGGGAGTCCAGCACTGTTAACCACCACGCCACCTGCCGACCCCAGCTTGCCCAGGCTTTATGTATGGCTCTGATCAACCACAGCTTCGACACGGACTGCTTAACAGACAGACCCAAATCTTAGAACTGTTCTCACTGACAGTTTTATATAAAGTACCTGAAATCTGCAAAAAAAAAAGGGGAGGCAGAATATCAGGCCCCCCGCGAGCTCTGCTGGATTGGGATCTGTGTTTTTGATAGGATTTAGGTGATCTGTGTGTACATTAATGTTCGGTGAGCACCAGTCTGGGTCTGTCTGCCCCCTTTCACGTACTCATAAAAGAAGGCAACCGTTCTACGTTCTAAAGAGCCAGCCGTCCAGAAGTACATGTTACCCCTGGCCTAGCCGTATGGGACAGAAAACTGGAGTATGGGGACTCTGGGAGTCCAGAAGGAAGACTCTCCTCACGTGCTGATGACCTTCTATTTTTGAATTGTGAAAATACAGATAATTCGGAAAGTCGACAAGCAGACCGCGTTACTGGATGCAGATGACCCCGTGTCGCAACTCCACAAGTGTGCATTTTACCTTAAGGATACAGAAAGAATGTACCTGTGCCTTTCTCAAGAAAGAATAATCCAGTTTCAGGTACGTGCTCAGAGTTCCAGTAGGATAGGGTCCACGGGTGGTGTGGTGGTGAAGGCACTGGCTCGCACGTAGCCAGCTGCCATTTAAGTCCTGAACATCGCGCCGGGCGTGTGTGCCTGTATGCATCAAATCCCAGGACAGAGCAGGGGAGAAGGGATTGCAGTGTGGCCATCTCCCAGGGGGTGCTGTCTCACTTCTCTGCTCTGTCTCTCTCTCGTAGAGACATTTATTTGTACTGGTAAAATCTACATGTGAAGTATTAGGTTAGCAGCTTACAGCAGCCTACAGAAACAGGAAATTCTCATTTGCTATTGATTGTATCTAAATATACGAAACCGTACTCAGATACTCATTGTAGACCCAGGGGCTGTCACGCACATGGTCCTTGTCCATGCTGGTGACCCTCTTCCAGGGGAGAGCTCAAAACTCTGAAAACTTTCTCAGAAAAAAACAATTAACATGACAAAGAGCACCTGGGAATGTCCAAAACTCGATTTTAGGTATTCAGTGAATCATGTGCGAAACCTGACTAGGCAAAGCATTTTTCTGGTGGAGGCTCCAGATTCTCATTAGATTTACACTGGGGTCTCCCAAGGTAGTCATGAAGACAGGCCTCAAAAGCTGATTATTCGCTGTATTTACTCAGAGGCTTTCAGGGAAACGTGGTGACCGGAGCAGTGTGTGCACATGGGGTCCCTGGTCTAGGCTTCTGAGGTAGGGCCAGGGGGTTTCTGCTTCCGATCTTGGTTCCCTGCTCCCCAAACTGCATACGTCTCTACTGTTTTCTGAGCATGAGGGCTCCCCTTCTCCCCCAGAGCGCCCTAAAGAGCCTCGTACAGCACAGATTCCGACTTCCCGTGAGTGAAGTTGTGCCGGTACCGATATGTTCTTAATGAGTATTCTGGAAGAGTTATTAGATATTTAATAATAAAGTAGTGTATCGTGGCAAAAGTATTTTGTATTCCAACAGCTGCCGTTAATGGGGTTTCCATGTTAATCCTCTGTGTTTATTTAGGGATTGGCCAAACAGCATGCCTCAGGAAGTTAATGAAGCTTTACCAACTCCTCTTCTTGTTAACCCCAGTCTATGAGTGTTATTTGGTGAAATTCTCTTACCCTTCGGTGTGTAGAAACCTCAGTTTCTAAACCCCCTTTCTTCATAAGGCCACTCCATGCCCGAAAGAACCAAACAAAGAGATGATCAACGACGGCGCTTCCTGGACAATCATCAGCACCGACAAGGCCGAGTACACGTTTTACGAAGGGATGGGCCCCGTCCTGGCCCCCGTCACCCCAGTGCCTGTTGTGGAAAGTCTGCAGGTAAGGCCGCCTGGTCCGAAGTTAGCTTCGAGCTCTTCGGGGCCCGCTCTCCGGCATGACTTGGCATAGTTTTATCTCACAGTACCTTAGATTCGTCTCCAAATTTTGTGATCTGGAAGTTTTTGTATGTACTGGTTGTTGATTTAAAAAAAAAAAAAAAACCCATATCTACTTCTATGCAAGAAAGTTTAAATTGACATGTACATTATCTTGAAATGCCTAGAACTAGCTTTGTGATGATGCTTTCAGAGAAACACGTTCATTAACCATCCTTCCACCGAAGTTGATGTGAATCTGCTTTGTGTCCTTTAACGAGAAGTGAAGTTTTCTCCATGTCGTGATTTTTCTGTGACTTGCAGTTGAATGGCGGTGGGGACGTAGCAATGCTTGAACTAACAGGACAGAATTTCACTCCAAATTTACGAGTCTGGTTTGGGGATGTAGAAGCCGAAACCATGTACAGGTACTTGCCGGAATCCTCCCCCTCGGAGGTCGGAGGGGTGCGGGTCGGCGGGTGTCTCTCCTGGCTGAAGGTTCCCAGCCACCTGCTTCCCGCGCGTGCCTTTTCCCGTACTCGCCGCGGTCTCTTCTCCCCGCAGATGTGGAGAGAGCATGCTCTGCGTGGTCCCAGACATTTCCGCATTCCGAGAAGGCTGGCGATGGGTGCGGCAGGCAGGCAGCATGAGGGCTCCCCTTCTCCCCCAGAGCGCCCTAAAGAGCCTCGTACAGCACAGATTCCGACTTCCCGTGAGTGAAGTTGTGCCGGTACCGATATGTTCTTAATGAGTATTCTGGAAGAGTTATTAGATATTTAATAATAAAGTAGTGTATCGTGGCAAAAGTATTTTGTATTCCAACAGCTGCCGTTAATGGGGTTTCCATGTTAATCCTCTGTGTTTATTTAGGGATTGGCCAAACAGCATGCCTCAGGAAGTTAATGAAGCTTTACCAACTCCTCTTCTTGTTAACCCCAGTCTATGAGTGTTATTTGGTGAAATTCTCTTACCCTTCGGTGTGTAGAAACCTCAGTTTCTAAACCCCCTTTCTTCATAAGGCCACTCCATGCCCGAAAGAACCAAACAAAGAGATGATCAACGACGGCGCTTCCTGGACAATCATCAGCACCGACAAGGCCGAGTACACGTTTTACGAAGGGATGGGCCCCGTCCTGGCCCCCGTCACCCCAGTGCCTGTTGTGGAAAGTCTGCAGGTAAGGCCGCCTGGTCCGAAGTTAGCTTCGAGCTCTTCGGGGCCCGCTCTCCGGCATGACTTGGCATAGTTTTATCTCACAGTACCTTAGATTCGTCTCCAAATTTTGTGATCTGGAAGTTTTTGTATGTACTGGTTGTTGATTTAAAAAAAAAAAAAAAAACCCATATCTACTTCTATGCAAGAAAGTTTAAATTGACATGTACATTATCTTGAAATGCCTAGAACTAGCTTTGTGATGATGCTTTCAGAGAAACACGTTCATTAACCATCCTTCCACCGAAGTTGATGTGAATCTGCTTTGTGTCCTTTAACGAGAAGTGAAGTTTTCTCCATGTCGTGATTTTTCTGTGACTTGCAGTTGAATGGCGGTGGGGACGTAGCAATGCTTGAACTAACAGGACAGAATTTCACTCCAAATTTACGAGTCTGGTTTGGGGATGTAGAAGCCGAAACCATGTACAGGTACTTGCCGGAATCCTCCCCCTCGGAGGTCGGAGGGGTGCGGGTCGGCGGGTGTCTCTCCTGGCTGAAGGTTCCCAGCCACCTGCTTCCCGCGCGTGCCTTTTCCCGTACTCGCCGCGGTCTCTTCTCCCCGCAGATGTGGAGAGAGCATGCTCTGCGTGGTCCCAGACATTTCCGCATTCCGAGAAGGCTGGCGATGGGTGCGGCAGCCAGTCCAGGTTCCAGTAACTTTGGTCCGGAACGACGGGGTCATTTACTCCACCAGCCTTACCTTCACCTACACGCCGGAGCCGGGGCCGCGGCCGCACTGCAGCGCGGCGGGGGCCATCCTCCGCGCCAGCTCCAGCCAGGTGCCCCCTACCGAGTCCAGCACGAACAGCGAGGCAAGTTACACGGACGCCAGCACAAACTCCACCAGCGTCACGTCGTCCGCGGCCACCGTGCTGTCCTAACACCGTCTTTTTGCTGGGACTTACACTGACTTGAGTGTGGCAAAAAGCTGGCAGAAAAAGAGGAAAAAAAAAAAAAAAAAGAACAATCTTTTGTGGTTTCTTGGGAAAACTTTCATACCAGGTGATAACTATTGAGAAACCCCTTTACCTACAAGTGCTGATTTGAAATCCAGAAGCCACAGTAAAACTAAGCGTCAAAATGCACAAACCGTGGGGATCCGAGGGTTCAGCCGGTCTTATTTTGCTGGCTTGGTCGGTCTTTGGTTTAAATGGGCAAGAAATAGCTGCTTGTCTGGAGTAAGGATTAAACAGACTAGAAGACACAGATCTAACATAGTTTCTATGGACCAAGGAACTTGTGTAAGCTTTAGTAAAAGGTACATTTTCATCATACCTTTTTTTATATCGCAGTATATAGTACATCTTGTTATCAAATAGGTTGTATTCCTTCTGACCCCTTTTGCTCTGAAGTTCATTCAGGTTCCAAGCCTGGCCGTTCTTTTTTTGTTTTTAAGCTGAAGTCTTATGACTTTTCGTGAGTCGAAATTGTTTTGATCTCAGCAAGTCAAATCTTGTAAAGGCCTGCATATTTTTTTTTTAAGATTATATGAAGTCTGTGCAAAAGCTTTAAAAATGCCTCTGCCTTGCCTGCAATACATGCAATGTACATTAATTTTAGTCTTTATTCTCAGACACTGTTGGTAGTTAGTTCGGTGTTTTCCCTTTCTTTTCTTTTTTTTTAAAGAAATGTATTTATAGCGATAATCTGAGGTTCTAACATTTACGTGGAGTTCGGTGTGGCCATTTAGTCCTTGACGAGTTGATGGCACAGAACCTGTTGGTATTTGAAGTGCTCTCTCCCCTCTCCTATACAGAACTACGTCTGTGTGTTCCAGGATCTGTTCAGGTGTCTGCCCCCTCCCGTCTTGTACATAACTTGTATTATGTGTAAGTTAAACATTTTATTTTGAACTTGGGGTGTTCCCAGCGATTTCATTCAGCAGGGTATTTTCTGTCTTGTTGGCAAATGACAAAAAAAAAAAAAAAAAAAAAAAAACCGTAAGAAGTATCTGCTACCAGTTGGTAGGCAATGCCCTTATGGTAGAATGAGGAAAATCCCAACAGAAGCATGTTTTATTATTTTTACTTTTTTTTTCTTTTCTTCTCTCTTTTCCTTTTTCTTTTCTTTTCTTTTCCTTTTTTTTTTTGGTAGCCTAGGCCAGATCATCACTGTAATCTTAAAACATAAGATGCTTTTATTAGCTGATCAACTGAAATAGCTGGAAGGCAGTACTTTAGGAACAGATAGTGTGAGGTTATAAAAATGCAAGTGTAACTTATGTTTCCATGCCCCTCTCTGCCTTTTTTGTCCTCCGTTCCTCAGTACTGAGCATCTCCACAACTCTCTCCTACTCGGAAAACATTGCGTTTCCTTTTGGTTAAGATGTGGTTGCATTCGGGGTCGCGTGTTGGCCTTGCCCGCCGCTCTCGCCGGCTTGCCATTGCTTCCGTTCCTGCCCTCTGGTCATACCTTCGCTCGGCTCCTCAGAGATCACAGCGGACTCGTTGGGTTCAGTCCAGGAACCGCGCGTGCAATGATCTAAGACGGTTTAGTGATGCAATCATCCTTCTTCGAGTAAAAACTACCTCTAGATTGTGGTAAGCTTTTACTGTCACACAAAACAGAAGCCACAAGTACCTTATGGAGGCGAAACTGTAAGTTCCCGCAGTGTGTCCTCATAGAACATGGTCATTCTGGTGTCCTGGGCTGTTTCAAAGAGAGTTTCCACCCAGAGACTTTGAAAATACCGTTACTGGCATTCCCCCCGCCACCTTTGCTCCCTCCGTCACTCTCTGCTCAGACTACGCCGCTGTAAATACTGTTCTCGCGTCTCTCAATGGCCTTTTCCTCGGTTTTCAAGGGGAAAGTCATTTATAAGACACGCCGGGGGGGTTAAATCGAAGTTGCTGCCGGCTCCCCGAGGGCAAGCCTTCTTAATCACCCAGCCTGCAGTGTCCGATGGCAGCCTTTCCTCTTCAGATCTGCCCATCCCTCTCGGAAGCCAGTCCCGCCTCCACCTCCAGCGTGTCGCAGTGACAGCGGGCAGAGCTCACCGTGGCCTTAGCCTCCTCGGTCGTAACTGTTCCCCAGCTTTTCCTCGCGTCCCCACTTAGTCCTGAGTGGTATTTATTCTTTTCTCTGTTGGAGTCACCCGTAGTCACCACACAGTGCTTTCTGTTCAGTGTGGAAATGTTTCCAGAGCCGCTTCCTTTTCCCAGGCCACAAGTTCCCCCGCCCCAGGTTCGGGGCGTAGTTAAGAAATCATATTCAATGAACTGGTAACAAACGAAATGCATTTGAAGAACAAACTATTCCTGACCCAGTTTTTGTAGCTCAAACTAATTTGTCGATCCCATGGCTTTGTTGAAGAGAACTTCCGCTTTTGTAAGGCCGATATCTTATTTTGGTCCTTTGTTTCTTTTCAGAAGATCATTGAAATATTAGACTGTAAAAGCCCTTTCCTGGGTTTCTCTTTTGTTTTGAAAAGTCCAAGAATGTACTTTTACAGGCATCGTTTTGCCCTCCCCGTTTTATGCCATCCTCATACCACAAGACTAAAGAGTGAAATGTCTATTGTAGCTTATCGTTGGTCAGTAATTCTTTCATCAGCTGCTTAAAGGAATCTTTTTCATGGATCTGTGGATCATTTTAACATGCTGTTCATAGGAGCGCTGTCCTGCAGTTGCAGTAGAACACATCCTTCCCCATGACAGCGTTACTAAGGGTACTGGTCCTCACACCCGCGTGAGATTCTCTTCACGGCGGTGGCTGCACCGTGTCTCACGCTGTTGTGGTCCTGTGCGACCTCTGAACAGATACACAGAAGCCGAGCCTGTGACGAGTACGTTCTTGTCGATCCCACTGAGTTTGTCGCATGGATTGGGAAGGCAAGCTAAGCCCTGGGATCAGGTAGCCCTCACGTTCTGAGTGCTTTCCGAGTTGAACACTAGTGCGACAGCTAACCTGCTGCTGAGTTCTCTTAAACTGCGGCGTTGAAAGGCGTCCTCTCCTGTGAACTAACCAGGGACGCCCTGGTCACTGTTAACTGCACAGACTCCCTGGCGACCATCACTGGTTAGTTGTCGTTTGCCGTGAAACTGGTGCCACCTGTGTCCTCACGGAAGCTTTCCAATGCCATCCGGGAGACTAACGTCAGCTAGTCCTGTTAACCAGGTAGCCCACTAGGGGGAAGGGTTCCTTTTTGAAACCGAATGCTATTCAGTTAACCAAGTTACTCGCTTTGATTTCGAAAGCAGCTGGGTGTCTGATGCGTACTGAACAAATGTGTGTAATTTTCTGTGCCAGACTTCCGACTTTGTTTTTAAGCACTGTAATGTGGGATGGATGGTTAGTAACAATAATATATTAGGGTTTCTCTTTAACCCTTTCAGGACTGAACTGTATCTCTTCTCATTAATTTTTCCCCGTGTCGTGGTAAGTGTCTGCTAGCACCCAGTACTGTGTTGGTCCAGATGTAGGTTTCTCTGCCCATTTTTAGCTTATTTCTTGTACCTTGCAGCATGCCCGACGCATTCAGTCCTTAAGGGGTTTATTTTACAAACTGTGCGCCTGTAAGGTTTATTAGCAATAAGATAGAAAACGGAGCAAGTTTATACCATAATTTTGTAGAAAAAAAAAAAAAGAATCTGCTCAGTTCCATATCTCATCCATGAAAAACCTGCAATACGGGCAGTTTCAAGGAATAAATAAAAAGGAAATGTAAACCATGGTAAAAGTCTTCCGCTGGCTGTGCCTGATGTGTGTGCTGTGGTCTTTGATTTCTGAATACGTCACAAAGAGAACATTGAATTCCGCGTTACACTTGGCGTACGTCTGATGTTACCCTGCCGTCCACATCGAATCAGCAAGAGTTATGCTAACCTAACGTTCTATTCCAAGTTTATGACTGCATTGTGCATTAAAGAGAGATGCACCCTCCTCCCCAACGTTAATAGAGAGATGGGCTTTGCCACTCAAGGGACGTGTCTCCCTGTTCAGAATTGTTTGAAGCTGATCTCTGCGAGGTTGAGAGTATTATCTAGCAACGGCGAGTATGTCCAGTGTTAGGTGCTCAGTTGCTCTGGTGGATGGAAGAACATGTAACGGTTTGTGCCTTCTGCGGGGATTCTAAGAAGTGGCGACACAATATTCTTTGTTTCATATGTGAACAAAAATTTTAAAGGGGAAGATGTATAATTTCTAAATCATATCAAGGTCCTTTTTCTTTTCTTCTTTTTCTTTCTTTTTTCTTTTTTCTGGCCAGAGGACACATACTCTCAGAGGGGGAAAGTGGGAAAGCAGTCCGATGGGAAATATGGGAAATGGTCACAGCACAATTCCTTCCCCATTTGTCCTTTCTTTCAGAATTTTGGGCATGCACATATACACACCTGGCACGTTTCTCAAGCCACTGGGTCTGGGCCTCGAACCACACAGTTAGCCGTGTGGCATCTAGCCACCTTAAGCACCATACTAGCCTGTCTAGCCACTGTCTTAACCACTGTCTAGCCTGCAAGTCTAATTTTTTTTTCCTTTTTTTTTTTTTTTTGGAGAGTTTTTTGTCATACGGCGCATGCGCTTGCCAGACAGACAGAGAGAGACAGAGAGACAGAAAGTGAGAAATCATCCCCCAGGGGGGATGGCCACGCTGCAATCCCTTCTCCTCCATTCTCCTCTCGGGATCTTGGGCACGCACGCACACGTGCCCGGCGTGGGTTTTAAGCCACCGGGTCTGGGACAGGAACCACGGTCAACCACGTGGGAGTCCAGTGACATAGCCATTACACTAACTGCTGGTCCCGCAAGTTAAATTTTAATCTGCCTTCCCAAAGAAAGAATATGAGTAAAGTTATGAAGATTTTACTTAAGATATATTTTTTTCATGCTACCAAGAGAGAAAGGAATGGGATCTTTTCATGCTGTGATCCTTCTTCCCAGCCCTCCCGCGCCTCAGGATCTTGGAAGCCTGTGAGTGAATTTTCAGGCCGACCTGGAGATTCAAACCTGTGGTTAGCCTCATGGCTTCCAGCCTTACAGAACACCTGTATTTCTGCTGTGC